TGTCTAATGTTCCCATTGAGTTTGTGTGTTGTGCAGTAAATTTTCTTGGACTGGTCTCGAAATGGGTGCTGCGGTTCCAGCAGCAGCTGTTTGACTTAAGCCGCCCTTTTGCATGACACCTTGAGTTTTGGCACCCTTCTCATGCAGAGAGGTCGCGAGGAGCCAAGGTAAAGGTAAGGCTCTCCCATTGAACAACCCTTTACTGGGCCCCTCTGCAGGGCAAGGGTGCTAAAACTCAAGGTGGTCCGCAAAAGTATGCGACTTAGGTCGCACAGAAACCTCGGTCGTGTGACTGAACACGTTCCTTGCGTCCTATGTCCAATCATAGGCATCAAGCGCCTAGATTTACAGTGTGAACAGTGTATAGTGCAACTAAAAAGCTTCGATACGAACATTCACCGTTAAAAAATTATCATGATTTAGAATACTAAATTTTCTTGGTTAATTTTCTATTAAGAAAACTTCGTTTTTAACAAATTACGATTCATCGTTAATTTTCGAATTGCTTTGTAAAATCCAAAGCCCGAAATAAGGAGTACGAAATTTGTCTATATTTTGTCAAATTCTATGAGCCGATGATTTGAGTTCGTGACGATATATATTTGTAACTGTATGAAAAGTTTCGTTAATGCACACGAAATATTTCGTAACAATTTTGTCGTCAAGTCACGAAAACTTTTTACAGTGGTAAACGTTTAGTGCCAGAAATAAAGGAGAGCAAGCGGGGAGGGACACGCTTTCTCCTTCTGGAGAGCGAGGGGGGGGGGGGAGCACGTCTTCTCCTTCTGGTACCTGGTAGGGTAAGGACAGTCTTGGGGACTGTCTAAAAAAATTCTCGGTACATCACCTAATTACGAGGGGGAAACGACTAAGGTAATCCGGCTGACAGCCGAAAGGTAATCCGGCAGGGGTAATCCGAGGAAATTCTAAAAAATCCGTGGTAATCCGGGGGAATTTTGGGGTAGTCCGGGAAAATTTTGCGGGTAATCCGGGGTAATCCTAGAGAATAAGCAACGTAATCCGGAGGACACTCCGGAGGTAATCCGGGTAATCTGTAATCCAGCTGACACAAAGTTTACCAGTCGTTTCCCCCTCGCCTAATTACCTTCCGGACGATGCGTTTAGGACCCTTCGAGCATGCCTAAGCATTCCACGAGCGGCGCGGGGAAGAGATCCAAGAGACAGGGAGCACCGGGGTTTGCTACATCGACTCCAATCTCCAATCTGCATCCGGTTGAAATGTGCATAAAAACGCATCTTTTTAGCGTGCTTTATCAATGAGAATGCTTTTCTCGGGTAAGGTGCGTTTCATTCGTTCCGAATGGATTTAAATGCAGCGCCCGCAGCGCCTCTTCCCGACTGCAAATAAGGGGAAAAGTGAAAAGTGTCGTAGGAAATTCTTCATTATTGGCTGCACCGCTCAACATTTTCCCTCTCCTCTCTAGCAAACTTGTCGCGGCATCTTAGCATTTAATACAAACATCACCTTTTTTCTTGTCATTTTTGTAAAAGACAAAAGTAGTGTTTTGGGGATATTACGTTTGCCACCCTGCCTGCAGTCTGACGTATTTGTATTTGTGAGTTGTGATTGTTTTCGTTTCGTGGTCAAGGTTGTTGTTTGTTGCTATTTACGACGATTTTAATGGTTTTAGACACGATCGAGTTAGGTTTTAGCTGTAGAATGATTGGATAAAACTTTTAGAATCTTTCTTTTTGTTTATTAATGCAAATTTAGCTCATGACAATCATCTAAACTTTACCATCATGTCCTTTAGTGTTAATTCAAAATGAATTTAAGCCCCAAGAAAAGTATTTTGCAAAATTTAATTCACGGGTTTCGGTTGAGTTCCAATGAAGGATTTCACTCATCGAGGTAAAAAATAAATAATAGACCTCATTCTGAAGTATGTTCAGGAGTGAATCTTACAATTCTCTTTGGTTACATAATGACTGTTTCCCATTTTGACGACAGGTTTGTTAAAGACAGAAATTATTACGAAGTGTTAAACTTGAACGAAAAGTGTAACGCCAAAGAAATTAGGGACTCATTTATTCGTCTTGCTAAAAAAGTAAGTTTGATGTCGTTCTTGTATTCCTATACCTGTTGGTTCAGCTTTCTTAATATTATATCTTATTATGCATCAGTGTCATCCGGATACCAATCAAAATGATCCAAAGAGTCATGCACGCTTTGTTGAACTGCAAAAGGCATATACAGTCCTCAGTACACCTTCAAAGCGACGGGAATATGATTTAGGCTTATCTGATGTGTCAATATCGCACAACCGCCCATATAGAAGGCCACAAGGAGAATCCAATGACGCACGGGCCTACGAAGATTATTTCAATGATGAATTCAAAGATCTCTTTTACAGAAGGCTAGTTGTTTTGCCTCAAAATGTTTTATACAAATTGATTTATTACTCTCTGAATTACCAATGCAATTGTTTTCAAATTTTTCATTACAGTCGCATGAGGCCAAATGCAAACCCTCCTCGTCTTCGGGTTGGAGTTTTACAAATAACACTGTTGTTTGTTGCATTCACTACAGTTGGAGCTGTTTTACAATACTATGTCATTAAGTAAGTATCTAGTGGTAGTTTGCTTCAATCACATAAATGGTCATAGTAGGTCTGTTTAGACACTAAGATTGTATGCTTAGAAATGACCAACACCCAAATGAAGTCTCTCTCTCTACTCCGTAATCTAAAGTGGAAGTCTGTGCAGACAGGATGCTGGACAAAATTTTCCCAAACCTTCCCCTGTTACCTATCCTGATCTCTCTGATCGCCCTTTCTTCTTGAGGTAGATAACTGCTACAAACAAATGCTGCATATAAAGGCTGCTTAATATTTAA